CCTATATAAGTAATTTTACCATCCCAATCCCCATTCGATCTTCTATTTAACACTATCAAACCCAATTCTTCACATAGCTTTATCAATCTTCTGCCATTATTATTTACAGTTTTATCCTCGGATTTTCTTAAATTTACATTTATATCTTGGTTCCCTCCCTCATTACATATTTGCTCCTCCCCAACTCTTGCATTTAAGTCACCACAAATAAATACATTTTCATACTTTGTCATAACCTCTTCTAATACATATTTAAGCTTACATTCCATACAGGTCACCAACATTATTGTAAACGGAAACTATACATAATAAATCTTTAAATTTTAGAATCATCCCAAACTCCCATTCTAATACATTCCAACCTTCAATTATATCACGCTTTATTCCCACAATCTGTCCCCCCGATAATCTTCCCTTTTTAACACCTGCTTTTTTAATTCCACTCTTCACCCAATATTTAAAATTTAAATCTAGATTATTTAAGGCCTTTTTAGCACTATCCTGATCCAACCACGTTTCCTGTAAAATCATTATATCAAAGTCTCCTAAAAAGTCTTTTATTTCACTAAACCTTCTTGACCCATGCGTATTCCACAGCACCATTTTACAGATCTCGCTCCTTCTATTTTCTCCATTAGTTGTATTTTTGTTCTCGAAAAAATTCTTGCATCTTCGCCGTTCTCTCGTTGAATTTCCAAATCCTTTCATTCACGGTCAACCTTAGATATCCCAGTTTTACACGAAATCCATCTTCTCTTTCCTGTTCTGCTACCTGCCTCAACCATCTCTGAATTTCTATCTCCCTTGTCGTATGATCGTCATCGAACCTATAATCGAGACCTTTAAACTCTTTTTTATTATCCATTACATTTAACTTAACATCGAGGGTGTTAAATTCCAAATATATATAGTTTTCTTTTCCCTATTTGAGCCGAAATTCACTTCCATCTAAACCTAATTTTGTCATTGTTATTTGCAACAAATCATCTTGGCTCAAAGATTTCTCAGGATCACGATATCTAACCACAATATTGTTCCTTCTCGCACGCCTTTCTTTCCATTCATATTTCAAATGCCCATAGTCAATACCCTTAGGTCTCTATTTGTCCGCCTTTTTCGCCCCTGTTATTCCTTAAATTTTCATTTGTTTCTTTAATAACAGGTTTTTTCTTTGTATTTGTCTTATCAAATATTTTACTGTTGCGTTGCAATAACCTGTCCCGATAGTTAAAATTATTTACATCTTCATTATTATTGTTCTCGTTAATGTATATTTCCGTTGGCATTTCTACACTGTTATCACTATACATTTTTTCCAATGTCACGCATTTTTTTTCCAAATTCGTTAATTTTTCATTTAAAGACTATATATATATATATATATATATATATAATATAATATCTATAGTTGCAGAATGAAGGCAATGAGTTGCCGTTGCCAGCAACCTCGCCAGCGCACCATTGGCACCAGCCAGAGACGCCATCTTGGGTGGAGTTGGGCTCTCCACCAAGGTCCAGGTCGCCGACGCCGCAACCTAGGGCGCAGTCAACCCCAGTGTCCAGGTAGCTGACGACACTACCCAGGGTGCAGCCACCCGGCCCAGATCGGCGACAGCGTCGCTACCGTCGCCGCCAGCGTACTGTCATGCGCCTTGTTATTAATTGACTTTTTTAATTTTTAATTAACTTTTTTTATAATAAACGTGTTCACTTTTCCATAAGTATATGTTTTTTCTACGCATGCACGAAAGGTAAGAGTGGGAAATGAAGTGCGTGAAAGGTCGGAGTGAGGGTGAATGGAGTGGGGAATGAAGTGCGTGAAAAGTCAGAGTAGGGATAAACGTTATACGGCGTATGCGCGAGCAAATATTCTGGTATATATTCGGGATCGCGAGCGAAATTAGACATTCTTTCTTCTGTTCGCAGTCGCAACAGTCTCCCTTGCCAGTTACTAACTGTCTTTTTTGTTACATTGTCTTTTTTTTGTTAAACATTTACTGTTTTTTTTTGTTGTACATTTACTGTATTTTTTGTTATTTATATTTACTATCTTTTTTGTTATATTTACTGTATTTCTTAGGTTAAGTATTTAGTTTGTAAGTACGTTCTTTTCTAGGTTAAGTGTGTTTTTTCTAGGTTAAGTGTGTTTTTTCTAGGTTAAGTTTGTTCTTTTCTAGGTTAAGTGTGTTTCTCGTGATTATAGAGATGAAGCGGAAGGTCACAACCACCGAGGGACCACGTAAACATCCCAACTACAGGACCATCCTTGATGAGTGTGACGTCACCTTACCACTCATCAAGGAAGCTCTTGAGTTGGTGCCACAATTGAGTGACGTAGGTATAAGGCGTACATTTATCGAGCGATGGGTTGCAGAATGCTCGAGACATGAAAATTTGCTGTCGAGCATTCTAAAATCGATGTACTTTACACATCAAAAGCAGAGATATGTGTGCATTCTGCAATCCATCGTTCGATATCGGGCTTTATTCGAGTCGCACGTTGTAGATGGCGCTGGAATCGGTGATCCAGACATTAATAATCGCGTGCGCTGGGAAGAGTGTGAGAGTGCTTTTGCATATAGACTATACACTAATGCGGTCCTGAATGTAGTCCATATTGATATTAGCGTGTTTTTGGACGATGCGTCCAGGCTGTTTCAGGACCGCATTAGAGATGCTTTGAACAAGTACGGCCCCATTTTGGTGTACGGTGTTCTCATCGACAACTTTAAGAGGGTTGAGAATGGCGAAGAGGTTGTGAAGCCTATTTCTTTCGGATGCAAGGCTAACAGTGTCTTCACCACAACTCTCATAGATGATTGGTTCGATGAGAACATTAAACAGCCAATCTTGCGCAACGTGGAAGAGTTTCACGCAAAGGGTACGAATTGGAACCTTCAATCGATTATAAGGTTAGAAATTAATGTAAATAAATACAACCCTTTGCCTGCAAGCTCTTACATTAACTTACCTCCGCAAATTAAAAACAAGCATGCATGCATTAATGTTGTAAACAGGGACAACGAGTGCTTTAAGTGGGCGGTACTCTGAGCCTTGCATTCAAACGTGTCACATCAGGAGCGTGTTGCCAGCTACAATAAATTTAAAGATGAATTAAATTTTGAAGGTATTGAATTCCCAGTAGCGTTAAAAAATGTCCCAAAATTTTAAAAGCTGAATGACATCTCAATTAACGTCTATGGCCTTTCAAAGTTCTACGGTGACTTTTCGGTGCATCCTCTTCACCTTACTGCGGAGAAAAGAGATAAACATGTAAATCTCTTATACGTTGCGGATATGTATGCGGATGAGAAAGTTGAAGAGAATGTAATATGCGATGATGGTGATTTCATGAATTTTCACTACGTGTGGGTAAAAGATTTATCGCGATTATTGTTTAAGCAATTGTCTAAATCGCAGAGAAAAGAAGTATATCTGTGACCGATGCTTGCACTATTTTTATTCGGTAGAAAAATTAAATGAACACATCGAAAATTGTAAAAAGGTGAATGAGTGTAAAATTAAATTACCAAAGCCTGATAAGTGTACAATCACGTTCAAAAATTATAAAAATAAGGAAAAAGTTCCTTATGTGATTTACGCTGACTGCGAAAGTTTACTTCTTCCCGCCGATGAAGATGTAAACAATCTGAGTAAGACTGAAGTATTTCAGCGCCATAAGCTTTTGAGTATTGGTTATTATATAAAATGTAGTTATGACGATTCCGAATCAACGTATGTACCCTGTCCGAAGCAGGAAACCGACCCTGCTAAATGGTTTGCTGAAGAATTAAGGCAATTGTCTGAGAAAATTGATAATATCTTTAAAAATCCAATACCAATGACTACCTTAACTCCTCAGGAAATCAATGAATTCAAGCGAGCGACTATTTGTCACATTTGTCATCAGAAAATACCGGTGAATGTAAAGAAAGTCCGCGATCATTGTCACCTTACTGGCAAGTATAGGGGTGCTGCACATGAGTCTTGTAATTTAAACTATCAAGATTGTCAAACGATCCCCGTAGTGTTTCACAATTTAAGTGGCTATGACGCACATTTTATAATCCACGCGATTTCGACGAGCTTTGAAGGGAAAATTTACCTCCTTCCCATTAACAAGAAGAAGTACATCTCCTTCACAAAACATGTTAAGGGGAGTGAGGTCAAATTAAGATTTATCGACTCGTTTCGATTCATGGCAGCATCCCTAGAAAAACTCGCATCGTACTTAGACGAGTATAAAATTGTAAACAGCGCTTTTACCAGTACGGATCAGGATAAAATTAAATTATTAACGCGAAAGGGTGTATTCCCTTATGAGTATTTAGATTCGCGGAGAAAGCTTGATGAGACTGAATTACCTCCCAAAGAGAAGTTTTACAGTACTCTTTACGATGCCGACATTTCTGATGAAGAGTATGAGCATGCATGATGCTATGCTGAAATATACATGCATAACATTGCAACTTATAACCGACATCGATATGATCATGTTTCTTGAGTCAGGTATCAGAGGTGGCATTAGTCAATGTTGCAACCGCTATGCCAAAGCGATTAATCCTTATATGGAGAAATTCAATGAAAACGAAGATACAAGTTATATAATGTACTTCGATGTCAACAATTTGTATGGCTAGGCAATGGCACAAGCGCTCCCATATGGAGGTTTCAAATGGGTTGACAACGTTGATGAATCCTTTGACTTTAATGTACCTGACGACGCTTCAGTCGGGTACATTTTGGAAGTCGACTTGGAGTATCCTAAAGACATCCACGATACTCATAAAGATATGCCATTTTGCGCTGAAAATGCAAAACCACCTTTATCGAAGCAAGAGAAATTATTAACTACTCTCCTGCCCAAAGAAAAATATGTCATTCACTATCGAACGCTAAAGCAAGTTCTTGCAAACAGTGTTAAGCTTGTTAAAATCCACCGTGTCTTATAGTTTAAGCAATTACCTTGGCTTAAACCCTACATCGATTATAACACAATAATGCGAAACAACGCCAAAAATGAGTTAGAGAAAAATCTGTTCAAGCTCATGAACAACGCGGTGTATGGTAAGACGATGGAAAATGTCCGTAAGCATGTCGATGTGAAGCTTGTCACCAAATGGTTTGGCCGCTACGGAGCCGAAGCTCTCATCGCACGGCCGAATTTCCACAGTCGATCGATTTTCGATGAAAATTTGGTTGCCATTGAGTTACATAAAACTGAGGTACTGCTCAACAAACCGATCTATGTGGGGCTCAGTGTACTTGATATATCTAAGACGCTAATCTACGATTTCCACTACAGCTATATGTTGGAAAAGTACGGTGATAATTGTAAACTGCTGTATACCGATACAGACAGTCTAGTTTACGAAGTCAATTGTACAGATATTTACAAAGATATGAAAAAAGATATCCACAAGTTTGATACGTCAGATTACCCCTCAAACAACGCGTACGGTATTCCGCAAGCCATCAAAAAAGTGCTTGGCCTCATGAATGATGAGTGCAATGGCAAAATCGTTACGGAATTTGTTGGCTTGCGGAGTAAGATGTATAGCGTACGCGTTGAAGATAAAGAGTTTATTAAGAAAGCGAAAGGTATTAAATCCGGAGTTGTAAAAAAGACTATTAATTTCAATGATTATGTTAAATGTCTACGAGATTTTGAAATTCAAACTCGAACACAGTATAACATTAGATCGCGGCTACACAATGTCGAAACTGTGAAACAGTTGAAGGTAGCCCTAAGTCCACAAGACGATAAACGGTACTTGTTACCGGGGAGTACCGACACTCTACCGTGGGGTCACTATGCGATCCCAAATCTCGACGATTTGTAAATAGTTGATAAGTTCGAGAAAAAATGTCGGGAAATGTAAAGGCTGTGATAAAAGAAATAAATAGAACAATTGTATTTTAATTTCATGTGTTTTTTATTTAAAAATTCCTTACATATATACATTATAACATTGATTTAACATTGATTTAACATTGATTTAACATTGATTTAACATTGATTTAACATTGATTTAACATTGATTTAACATTGATTTAACATTGATTTAACATTGATTTAACATTGATTTAACATTGATTTAACATTGATTTAACATTGATTCAACATTGATTCAACATTGATTCAACATTGATTCAACATTGATTCAACATTGATTCAACATTGATTCAACATTGATTCAACATTGATTCAACATTGATTCAACATTGATTCAACATTGATTCAACATTGATTCAACATTGATTCAACATTGATTCAACATTGATTCAACATTGATTCAACATTGATTCAACATTGATTCAACATTGATTCAACATTGATTCAACATTGATTCAACATTGATTCAACATTGAACATTTCACTTTTAGAAGCTCCCCTTCATAGAATCCTCCACTGATGGGTTGATCTTGGTAATCCTTGAGTTTGTAAGTCACAGGTTGAGTTGATTCCACTTTATCAATTGTAAATATTTCAGTAGTCCAATAGGAGTATAACCTTTTTCGAAAATATTTTTATATTTGCTAACTCGCACTTTGTCACCAATTTTAAATTTAGATCGTCTTAACGGAATTTTTCTGAGCTTCGAGATTCGATCTTTTAAAATATCAACATGTTGTGCAGTAACATCTTTAGGCTTCATTCCAATTGTTCTATGTTTTGTGTCATTATAAGTAGAAATGAGGTTAGGTAATATATCATACAACTTATAATTTCCTCGTAAACTGAATTGCATCCACATTTTCCTTTTAAGTGTTCTATTAAATCTTTCAACAATAGATGCTTTCAAGTTACTGTATGTTGAATAAAAATTAATTTTGTACTTTTTCATTAAAGCTTCAAATTGAGAATTGTAGAATTCTTTACCTTTATCGGAATGAAGGTTCTTTGGAATACGTCCTTTTTCAAATATGAATTTCATTGCGTTAGTCACATCTTTTTTATTTTTACTTTTTACTGGAAGAGCCCAAGCATACTTTGATAAAATATCTATGACTGTAAGTAAATAATTGTAACCTTTGTTTATTTTTGAATAAGGTAGCATTTCAACTAAATCTGCTTGCCAGGTGTCATCAATATCACGCATTTCTACGCGACGGCGATGGAAATTTTTTCTAGCCTGTGTATGAAGTTCAGTTACTACTGTTAACTTTTTATCAGCCATCATTCTTTAATAAATTTAGCTGCATTAAATATAAATTTTGCTGTGATTCAATTTGTTTTAGTTTTTCGTTAACTCTGTCTTCAATAATTTGCATAAAAAGATTCAAGTCATCAATAGATGATCTTAATGATGACGTAACTTGGAAAATAGTTTTTATTTCGTTTTTTACAATGTTTTGTGCAAGTCTTAGATTTACCGCATCATGCAGTTCTTCAGCGTCTTTAACGTTACAAAGTCTTTTATTATCTATATCAAAGTGTCCACTTGAATTAACTTTAAATCCAATTCCAGTAGGTCCACGTCTTGCTATTACAGTTCCTCCTTGACGGAGAGGATGTCCGAACAGATCAATGCTGATTATTGAAATGAATGACATTTACTAAAGCACACCTTAATATATGATTTTAGCCTCACATCCCAATAAATATAGTCTGGTTTAAAACTTTTATTCGCAATCATAAATTTAGGTAGTGAACTACTACTTATAGATGATTCTTTTGTAGAAGGAAATAATTTTGATATAATATTTATGTATTTAAAACTTCTATCTCTATGAATAGAGTTAGAGGAACTATAGTTTTTTCTATGTGCATTGGAGGTGGTAAGAATTTGTTTATAATTATTCATATCATGTTCACTAATGTATGATTTTTCAGGTTTGTTTTTAAATAAAAGTTCTAATAACACAGAGGTAATTTTAAAACGTTTATCTACAATGTGATTTTTAAAGATTATGGTTTTATTACCAATCATAAGGGAACCATAATTAGCTTTGCGTACTCCATATAGCATATCCAAACATTGTTTTCTATTATGTTTTATCAAGAATATATATTTACTAACTAATTTATCAATGTCAGATACGGATTTTAGTGTTTCACCATCATCAGTACTCATATAATTTATATCATCATCACTATCATCATCATCAGATGCAGCTTTATTTTCAATCTCTTCTTTCTTTTCAATTTTAACATTTTCATGTTTATAATCTGTCAAGTTAATAATTTTTTGTAAAGGTTGAACTACTGGTTTAAAGGTTTCATTCAAAACATTTTCAACAGCTTCCTTCCCTAATTTTAATATTCGATGCTTCTATCTAATTGCCTCACTAGCTTTAGCAATTTGACGTAGATACTCTTTCTCTTTATGAAACATGTTGATATTTCAAGCTTTAAAACAATACTAACAATATTTAAAAAATTATAGTGTATTTATAGTGCTAGAAAACTGTCGAATCCTTTTCTATATCTTCCATCATTTAAATTAGAATCTTTATCAATTACTACAAAGCCATATTTGTCTGAATTCCAACATGTTGAACATAACTCTCGAAATTGATTAAATGTCATGTCAGTATTAACATGATCATCATACACATGTCTTAAATTTTTCTCATCTTGACGAAAAAGGACTAATAAATTGACATTATCACGTACTAAATGTTTAGGAATTCTAGCATATGTTTGACAGAGGTAAAAACAATCAACGTCAACATGTCTACCCATACAAAACAATGCCCTTACATTGTCTTGCTTTTCACAAGCAATATCGTCAAATATAAATATTGAATTTTGTTTTGCATCTTTAGGAGCAATTACTTCTTCATGATCACTAAATGGTAAATATTCAACTCCATCAACGTTACTCACAACTTGTTCTAAGAACTTATATTTTGGTTGTTGTAATGATTTTGAGTATAAGTAAATGTTGTCAAATCTAAGACCATTAGGATCTAGAATTAGAGACAGTAATACATTTGTTTTACCATAATTTAATGGGCCACAGAAAATTGCACGAATACTACCTGATAATAAACTACCATGGCGCTTAACTTTCTTCTCTTGTTGTTCAACAATTGAGTCCAGATTTACGACTGGCAGCTTATTAGGTTGTTCCTTGAATCGCATCCTGATGTAGACTGTTGTAAAATGTATAAATACAGCGCTTATATAACCTTTCAGTCATTCTATTTTAAACTTTCATAGAGTAAGGTATGATTATTCATCATCGCTCTCGAGGGAAAGGTTTAGCCAATAGTCTTATAAATAAGTTACCATTTGAATTACATCTGCCTGGTTATCAATATTAATTAATCTTCTGGACGCCGCTTGTAAGGAGCACGATATCTCATATTCCGAAAATCGAAAAAACGTTGAAGCAAGAAACGCTGCTGATAGAGTTTTAGTTGAGAAGGCGTGGGAACGTGTTACAGCAAACGATTCAAATACAGCTATTTGTTTAAAAAAAATTAAAATTTTTTTAAACAAATAGCTGTATTTGCAAAATGGCCTGCTTCTTTAAAAATCCTTACGGTGAAGTCGTAGAGAATCATTTACTGAAGAAAATAAGCCATATTTCATTGAAATCGAATCATTTTAAAAAATTCTGTAGAAGCGATATAAGAAAAAAATTTATCTTATGCAAATTGTATAAACAAATAAATTTTGCAGGTTTAAAATTTTTTTCTTGAAAATTAATATCTCATCTTTCAGAAAGTACAATTAATAATATTATTTTAATTATTTAAATGTTAATTATTTTATTCTAGAGGTCTGCATTTCCGTGAATAAACGTAAGAAATTAAAAGATGATATATTTTTCAGAAAAATAAAATAAATTGGTACGAAATGAGTATTCATTTATGATTAATTTATCTAAAAAATTTTTTTAATTTAATAAAGAGACTAACAAAAAAATTTTTTCTTGGTTTAGTTAAAAAAGCACTATTTTGGCAATTTTGAGCTAATTATGCGGTCATTATGCAAAAAAAGTAAAATTATGCAATGACATATAAATTATGCAATATTATGCGCTTTTAAAACGTATTGCAAAAGGTCCGAAATACAAACTAACACAATAGTATTATGGTTTTACTTGATTTTAGAAAATTATGCAATTATGCGATCGCATAATCTACCATTCTCTACGAATTTAGGATTCATGCAAAAATATACACTTGAATTTTCAGACCAATACGTAAGCAACACACACGAAGAATAAGTTAAGAATAATGATGAAAAGGCATCAAAAATAGTTTTATTTTTTGTGCAGTTTCATTTTCCCCCCCAAAATTAATCTGCCAATCATATTGTTAGTTCCCCCCACCCTTTAACAAACTCTGAACGTGTTTCTTGAGAATGTGCCAGTGGTGCCAGGCTGCACACCAATTCCACTCCCACCATGCCACCCGTGCGCCTCCCACCATACGGCCACACACACAAGTGTAAAGCGTGCGCTTACTCTTGTAGGTGTGCCTATTTTTCGTTTTCCTCATATTCGCCCGCTTCAGCTGAGCGACTATGCCTGTTTTTACCGACAGCCGGTTAATTTCACGCGCGAACTTTTAAATTCTTTATAATATAAATATACTTTTATTAATGTTTTTATAGATATTTATTAATAAATAATTAATAAATGATTAGTAATTAATTAATAAATAACCGATAAATAATTATTACATAATTAACAATAATTTTTAATTAATAAATTAATATTTAATAATTATTAATTAATAAATTAATATTTAATAATTATTAATTAATAAATAATTATTGAATAATTATTAATCAATAAATTATTGTTAAAATAATTGTGCTTGTACAATTATTTATTTATAATTTATTGATTAATAATTATTCAATTATTATTTATTAATTATT